AGCCCAGAGTCTGAAGCCCCCTCCCGATTGAAAACAACAACCGCGCCCTCGGCTGCCAGCCCGCTCCGCGCACTCCGCACCTGAGTATTTCACTTCCGCACTGTGCCTCCTCTGAGTCTGGGTATGATATTCTCTTTACTCCTAGTTGTAGAATTTCCACTCAGCCAGCCCTCCTGTGGTTCTGGATGATGTCCGTTCCGTCTTTTAGGTGTAATTTGAATTGGTTGTTCGAGGCAGCAATCTCCGGCATTAACCTATGCCGCCATCTTGGTTCTCCCCTAACCTTCTCTTTAATGATATGATAATTTTTAGTCTTCATCTAAGATTTTATGAGTCTATGAAATAACTATGCACCTGAGGTCTTTAAGAAATAAGAAAGATTCCCTAGCTGGTTTGGCTCAGTGGATAGAGCGTCGGCCTGTGGATTGAAAGGTCCTGGGTTCGATTCCGGTCAAGGGCACGTGCCCGGGTTGTGGTCTTGATCCCCAGTAGGGGGCATGTAGGAGGCAGCTGATCAATGATTCTCTCTCATCATTGATATTTCTTTCTCTCTCTCCCTCTCCCTTCCTCTCTGAAATCAATAAACATATTTTTTTAGAAAAATTCAGTGATTCAAATTTATTTAGCATTTTAAGTGCTTCTTCCTGGTCCCAAAATTACAACTAAGAATTTTTTTTTCTTTTTGTATAAACAGCAGTATTCTCTCTAGATCTCTACACTTGACTCATTGGCCTCAATAGTACAAGTGGGGGCAAAAGTAGGTTTACAACAACCCCAGCAGGTCCAGGGGTCCCCAAAGGTGTGGACGGAGTCGGTGAAGAAGGGATTACACAGAGACAGCGTTCAGTTGATCAGCAGCCCAGTCAGGTTCTCTAGCCAAGTTCTGGTTCGTTTCTCTCACTAGGTTCTTCAGCCAGGTTCGGTTGCCAGGTTCTGTCTAGGTTCTCCAGCTAAGTTCTGTAGCCAGGTTCTGCCAGGATTTTTTGCCATGTTCTCTCACTAGGTTCTGTCTCTAGGATCTGTTGCCAGTTTCTGTCCAGGATCTTTTGCCATGTTCCATCTCTAGGTTCTGTCTCTAGGTTCTGTGTCTAAGTTCTGTGTGTAGGTTCTGTCCAGGATCTTTTGCCATGTTCTGTCTCTAGGTTCTGTCTCTAGGATCTTCATCTAAATTCTGTGTGCTGTTGTCTTGTTACATCTGTATTTATACCAGTTGATTCCAATCCTATCAATCTCTATTCCAAAGGTTAGGGCGTTTCTTATCTCCATTCCAGGGAGTAAAGATTATGTAGCTTAAGTGTGATTGTTCGTAGCTAAAGTGATTAATTACCCGCCTGGCACTTAGTTAAGAGGTTTTATTCCTTCCCTAACTTCAGGGGAAAATCCCTACCTGGGGAAACAACCTTTCTCAGAGAGGTGACCTTGGTTAAAACACAGCGCCAAGAAGGTGAGCAAATATATTAAGAACAGTATGCCATATACGCCAGATCCCTTGAAACAGCAAGGATGGATTGGCTCCCGGCATCTATCCACTGAGCCAAACCGGCTAGGGCTATCTATATATTTTTTTAATGTAAAGTGTTGAAAAATATCTTAAACAATAAGAGGACTAATTATCCATAATCTCAGCATTATAAGAGGTTTTTTTTTCAATTTGAGGTATTTCATTTTAATATTATTCATGTACATAGTTATTTTTATAAATGTATAATCATAGTCTATTTACATTTTGTTTTTTTAATGACTTTTATTATCATGAGATACACTTAAGGAAATACGTGTGTTTTCCTGGATTCTGAGTCTTTAATCCTGAAAAACCACTGGCAGATGTGGTGGGTAGGAGCAATGCATTAAAAATGTCAAAGGCCACAAGGCTTCTTTGAAAAACTAATTTTTGTGGTTTGTGGGCATTTCCTAAACTGTTTGTATTGCTTTCTTCCCCCCTAAAATAGTTGATCATGGACTTGCCAGGTTGGTGACAGTATATTGTGAACATGGTCATAAAGCTGCCAAAATCAACCCCCTCTTTACTGGACAAGCCCTGCAGGAGAATGTGCCTGAAATCCAAGCTCTTGTGCAGACTCTGCAGGGACCCTTTAATACCACAGGTAAAGCCCATTGACAATAGACCTTCCATGTGACAGTTACCTGCTAACAGAGGTGGGGCTCCTTTCTCTGTTCTTGAAGAACCCATATGCTCACTGGAGTTGAGGCTTTCATGGAGTGTGAGGAGACAGTGAGGGGCACTTTCAGGCACCATCAGGGAGGAGCAGTCTTGAAGTTCTAGAATGGTCTTTCAATAGGGCCCCATTTCATCTGCATTCAACAACCTATAGACAAATGACCAACAGGTATATGAAAAAGTACTCAGGGAAGTGCAAATCAAAACCATAATGAGATGTCACCACACACCTGTTAGAATTGGCTATTGTCAACAAAACAAAAGATGCAAGTGTTGGTGAGTATGTGGAGGAAAGGAATTCTTGTGCACTGTTGGTGGGAATGTAATCTGGTGTAGCCACTGTAGAAAATAGCATGGAGGTTCCTCAGCAAATTAAAAATAAAACCATCATATGATCCAGCAATTCCACTTCTGGGTATTTATCTAAAGGAATTGAAATCAGGATCTTGAAGAGATATTTGCACTCCCATGTTCTTGCAACATTGGTCAATCAATATTGAAGATCTAAAGTTTATTGTAAGAAACGTAAGAAATATAAAGTAAATATTTGTTTGTTTGTTTTTGCACGTGACATTTGTGATACTTTTTATTTATTTATGTATTTTAAAATATATTTTTATTGCTTTCGCAGAGGAAGGGAGAGAGAGAGAGAAACATCAATGATGAGAGAGTGTCATTGATCAGCTGTCTTATGCAGGTGCAGGCCCCACACTGGGGATCGAGCTTATAACCCAGGCATGTGCCCTTGACCGGAATCGAACAAGGGACCCTTTAGTCCACAGGCCAGTGCTCTAACCACTGAGAAAAACCGGCCAGGACGATGTTGGTTTGTTAACTCATGCTGTAGGTTTAGGCAAATGGCTGATAACTGATTTGGTGCTGAGCTAATGACATTACAAACTTCCCTTTTCTTTGACTGAGTATCAGGGAGATTTCCTTTTACCTTTAAATGTTGCTTTGGAATCAATATTAATTCACATTAAGACCAACTGTTTAATGATAAATATTGCTTTAAAGATATTTATTAAGACTTGAACATCTTGGTAGGTAGATATTTGAGATAAAGGTAGGACATAAGCTATGTAGCTATGAAGCAGATGAAAAAGTGGGTTTGAAGTTTTAGTTTAAATGACCCTAGAATCAAAATTTGACATAAAACAGTATGTCTGTATGCTTTTGAAGAGAGATTTTTTTTCTCTTCTAGTTTTACTACCTTGTGGCTTTTGATCATATTTTTAGATTTGCTTCTAGAAAAATGTAGATAAGCACTGATAATGACCCAAGTTATTTGAAATGAAATGCTCTGAATTGAAAAAATTATTTTGGTATGTTCTATAATTAGTTATATGGTTGACTCTTCTTTAAGAGAATCTCTTTGATTCCATTTCATAGGATTATTGAACATGGGGAAGGACGAGGCCTCTCTTGAGGAAGTATTAGCCTATCTCAACCAAATCTACTGTGGGCAGATTTCCATTGAAACCTCCCAACTTCAGAGACAGGAGGAGAAAGACTGGTTTGCAAAGCGGTTTGAGGAGCTGAAAAAGGAGACATTTACTACAGAAGAGCGAAAACATCTGTCGAAACTAATGCTAGAATCTCAGGTATAAAAGCAGCAGCTAATGGAATAGGTCAGCTCATTTCCTACAAAGGTATATAAATACTGGAAAGAGGGAATTAGGCATTAAATCTCTGAACATACCCCTTCCTACTCCCTCCCCATTACCTCAACACAACAGGCAATATAACACACACCACTTTATTCTGAGTAGGAAAAAGTAAATCGCCAAACAGTGGAGCTATTGGTTCTCCTCAAAGCCAGAATACTTTTTATATGTGTGTTTATTCACTCTATAAACCTTACAAAATCCTTAAGATCTTCTCTTTTTATTACCTGAAGCAATAAAAAACGATGCATGGAAGACAAATCAATATGAATTAATGGAATTGAATGTTTGTCAGGGCTATTACCAGGACTCAGGCATATCAAGAGGACAAAAAATTTATTCCCAATAATTCAGACAGTTGGCCAGTTTGGATCCTTGATCAAATAGTACTGTAGAGCCTGATACTAAAACTCAGGTACTGGTTGAGGCAGCAGAAATCTGAGGCTCTGCCCCGACTCTGGCAGAACACACATTTAAGGGGGTTCCTCTTGGGGTTAGTTAGTCTACCTCTCAGGCTATTTTCTGATCATCCCTTACTGCGGTCGGGTGTCCTTGGCAAGGCGTTCCTGCTGGACTCTGGGTGACATGTTTTTCTCTGGGGTAGGTAGTGATGGGCACAGCTGCAGCCACTTGAGGTAGTGTGGGGTCCTAACAACACACATAAAAATGTCCTACTTTGATCTAAGTAGTCAGCTAATGTGTAACTAATATATCTGATGTGATGGCCCATAGGAATTTGACCACTTTTTGGCCACCAAGTTTGCCACAGTGAAGCGATATGGAGGCGAAGGAGCTGAAAGCATGATGGGCTTTTTCCATGAGTTGCTGAAAATGTCAGCCTACAGTGGGATCACTGATGTCATCATTGGGATGCCCCATAGGGGGAGACTTAATTTACTGACAGGCCTTCTGCAGTTCCCTCCAGAGGTAAGATACTTTCTATGACATACAATAAAACCAATGCTAATAATTCCTTTTAGAAAACTGACTAAGTATATGAATCATTGGTCCAGGATATAGCTTAGTTAATCGATGGAATCCAGTACTTCTGGATAGAATGGGTATTTAGGTTGATTTTCTGCATATCCTTATATGGGTTCTTCTTTCAGGGAATTTAAAGTTTAGTTTATTTCCTTAAGGATGATATGAATAGATAAATTCTGTCCTTTGAAGCATGCTTTTCTTACTTCATAAAAATTGTCAAAAGAACACAAAGATTTGCACAATTTTACACAATTTTACCTTCCAAGAAGTCAATGTTACCCTTCAGTTATTTACAGAGTTTATAGTTAATAGATTGTACTAAAACTAATGATACATTGCTATCTTAAGAGACCACCTAAGTGAGTGGTTTTATAGATAATTGGATCTTGGTATTTCTGTTCAGCCCAATTCAGCTGCTCTGCTCTATAAGTCTCTCAAAAGACTTGGGAATTAGGACTGAAGACCTGATGTCAGAGAACATCAGAGAGACTTGATATTTAATAAAGTTGTGGCCATTATTTGTGAATAAGCCTCATTACTGTCCTTTTCTAGGGGATTAAAAGTCACTACAAATGTTAAAGGGACTGTCAAAATTAGATGGAGTGAAGAGAGCCCATTGAAGATGTGTTGTCATTAAGAATATTAGAAAATCTATGTAGTATCATGTCTAGGGGCCAAGCATTACCACTATTACTCAGACCTCAGTGTTTCTGATGCTAAGAGATTGATAATCAGCTTTTAAAGGACAAATACCTTAGAAAAGGTAGCGTATGACAGGATAAAGTAATTGACAGATGGAGCATGTGCTTAGATACATGCAGAAATTCTTAAACCAAAAATTGCATTTCTAAAATATCTCAGATGAAGAAATTACTCAAAGACGCAAAAGTAATTATAAATGATCATACTTGTGACAAACACATCTGTATATACACTATGTATGGTTCTATTTGTAGATAGGTAACTAAGCTTTTGCAAACTAGAGAAGCTTCCAGGTCATTCACACAATTTGGCAAACTGAGAATAACATGCTGTTTTTGGTTAACATTTTGGTTTGAGACCCAGCTTTGTTATAGGACCTTTAACAATTTAATTTCTCTTACTTGTTCACTTTAAAAATGGGTAATAAGGTTTGTCTCATAGAAGACTGAAAATGAAGTGAGACAATATATGTAGAAAAGTTCTTTGAGTATTGGACTTCTATAGTTTTTTTTTATTGTTTAAAGTATTACATAGGTCTCCTTTTTCCCCAATTGACCCCCCCATCCACTCCCACCCACGAGGGCAAGTCCCCACTGCCCCAGTGTCTGTGTTCAATGGTTACGCTAATATACATGTATACAAGTCCTTTGGTTGGTCTCTACCCTCCTTCCCCCCTGCCTCTTGTCTCTAGATCTATTTTTGTTCATAAGTTTATGTTAATCATTATATCCCACAAATGAATGAGATCATGTGATATTTATCTTTCTCCGGCTGGCTTATTTTGCTTAGCATAATGCTCTCCAGTTACATCCATGCTGTTGCAAATGGTAAAAATTTCTTCTTTTTTAGCAGCATAGTACCCAAGCCATTATGCTCAATTTATATTTCACAAAGGAGGCAAGAGCATACAATGGAGTCATGACAGTCTCTTCAATAAATGGTTCTGGGAAATTTGGTCAGATACATGCAAAAAAATGAAACTAGATCACCAACTTACACCATACACAAAAACAAACTCAAAATGGCTAAAGGACTTCAATGTAAGATGGGAAACCATAAAAATCTTAGAAGACTCCATAGGCAGCAAAATATCAGACATATGTCATCGCAATATCTTTACCGATACAACTCCTAGGGCTATGGAAACTAAGGAAAAAGTAAACAAATAGAATTACTATAGTTTTTTAGATGTAACTTGAGCTAAAAATATAGTTGTCTCTTCTCTAAATGGGATTGGGATTAAGTTCTGTTATTTTCCTCTCGACTTTTAATGAAATTAATTGAAAAAGTTCTTTGAAAATATATTCTAACAAGTGTATTTAAGAAAATTATTGTATTTACTGCAAGGCAGAGGTAACTTACAGTCTATGTCATGTTAGACTCCTCATAAAGTGTTACTACTTCATTTGATTTTGAAGATATTCAAAAAGTTTTGTGCATTGGAGCAGTTAGAGGTTTTGTCCATATCTTTAAATAATGGATGGTAATAATTATAAAAGCATGTGCATAAAGTGTCTTTGTATTGCATAATTTAAACTAGCCACTTCTCAGTTATGATTTAAAAACACACACATTTTTTTCTTGTATGTGTATCTGCAATAGCTGATGTTTCGCAAAATGCGAGGCTTAAGTGAATTTCCGGAAGATGTACCAGCCACCGGAGATGTGCTGTCTCACCTGACCTCCTCAGTTGACCTGGACTTTGGTGCACACCATCCCCTGCATGTGACAATGCTGCCTAACCCCTCGCACCTGGAAGCTGTTAACCCTGTGGCTGTCGGGAAGACTCGGGGAAGGCAGCAGTCTAGACAGGATGGGGACTACTCTCCAGACACTTCGGCTCAGCCTGGGGACAAAGTCATTTGCTTGCAGGTACTTCTAACTTCCGGAAGTGTGATCAGGGTTTGGGAAGATGAGGGAGAAAGAATGTCCAAGTTGGTAGGTCTGAAAGGAGATGGCAGGCATTCAAGATGAAACAGATGAACTTTTAGAGAAAACAATATTCTGGGGTTGTTTTAAAAATCAATAACAGATATGAGGTCTAGTGTCAAGGCAACGGACTTCAGACTGGTTTTTACTGTGCTTTTCCTTTCTCCAGTTATGAATTAATTAAGGGGTTATTGACTGGCATACCGACTACTGCTGGGAGGATGGATATCATTACTTCTCTGAAAGTATGGCCTCCTAGGAAACCACGTGGTACCCATATATTTAACAAGGCTACACCAGTCTGGATTTATTTTTATTTTTAAAAATATTTTATTGATTTTTTACAGAGAGAAAGGGAGAGGGGTAAAGAGTGAGAAACATTGATGAGAGAGAAACATTGATCAGCTGCCTCCTGCACACCTCCTACTGGGGATGTGCCCACAACCAAGGTACATGCCCTTGGCCGGAATCGAACCTGGGACCCTTCAGTCCACAGGCCGACGCTCTATCCACGGAGCCAAACCAGTTAGGGCTGGACTTATTTATTTATTTTTTGCTTGTTTGTTTTAAAGTGACGGTTTTTGGTATGAAGGTAAAGAATACAAATTATTGCCCTCGCCGGTTTGGCTCAGTGGATAGAGCGTCAGCTGGAGAACTGAAGGGTCCTGGGTTCGATACCAGTCAAGGGCAAGGGCATGTTCCTCTGTTGCAGGCTCAATCCTGGCCCTGGTTGGCAGCATGTGGGAAGCAACAATGTGTCTCTCTCAGATCGATGTTTCTCTTCCTCTGTCTTTCCCCCTCCCTTCCACTTTCTAAAAATTAATCAATGGAAAAATATCCTTGGGTGGGGATTAACAACAATAACAAAAGGATACAAATTATTAGTGTGGCTCTTGCTTCCCCTGCACCTTCCCCAATTATTTCATAACCCAAATGGTATCTTTTAGAGATTTGGTTGTGAGTCCCTTTTAAAAAAAATTATTGATTTCAGAGAGAGGAAGGGAGAGGGAGAGAGAGATAGAAGCATCAATAATGAGAGAGAGTCATTGATTGTCTGCCTCCTGCATGCCTCCTACTGGGGATGGAGCCTGCAACCTGGTTCATAGGTCAGTGCTCAACCACTGAGCCATGCCAGTCCGGCTTGCATTTTTTTAAGGGATAAATTATCCTGGATGTCAGTAATCGAGTCTTCAAACCCAACAGAAATCTACAAACCTATATATAAGGCAGTAGAATATGTGGCTGTGTATACAGATAACTACAGTATCTTATTCATGTTAATTTTTCATGGGCCAGAAACTTGTGGAAAATACTTGGGGATAGGCAGACTGGATTTGATTATGATATGGCATTGTTAGCGTATGGGATCTGTGTCCAGAGCGAGTCTGCCTAGGGCCTGCCGTAGTGTGTGGGTTCTTGACTTCACTTAGGAAAGATTTCACAACACGAGTCCAGGTGATTTTGAGAGCATGTTTATTACAGTTGGGGACAGTGAGACAAAGGAAGGGCTTAAGGTAGAAGAAGCAACAGGAGAGAGCCTAGGCCGGGCTGCTGTTAGCTCACTGGGAAATAAAAGTCACAGTGACAGAAGTGAGCCAAGCTGGGGCTGCTGTCAGTTCACTGGAAAATCAGAGAGGATGGAGGCCTTGGACACAGGTTCAGGGGGACAGCCCAGGAGGAGCTGCCGATGCCCACTGCTTCCCTGGTTGTAAGTCTCTTGGGGACCCTTAGAGTTTAGGAGAAAGAGAGCTGAGATACAAGGTGTGAGCATGATTTAGTGAGTGTGTGCTGTGGGTCCTTTGTCTTGAGGCTTTTTATCTTTCTTTGGCCAGAACCCTAGGGAGGTCTCAGGGGAGGGTCTTAACAGAAGATTCATTAGCTTTCCAGGGATGCCCTTCAATGTGTTGATTCATCAAATTGTGCATATAGAGGGGGCAGGGGTTATTTTCTGGTTAGTTTTATATTCAAAGAACATCATTGAAGAGGGACTGGGACCGAGGCTGGTCTGCCCTGGGACAGCCCGGAATGTGCAAACTTATTTGCTTCTAACTGTCCTTGATTAGGGAAGATAGAATCTTGTGATTCATTAGCTGCCTGTAAATTGCTGAAATTGTTTGTCCTTGTTTAATTATTTTGTCTCAGTTTTCCTTATTTCACTTGTCAAGGAATTTCCCTAGCTTCTTACTGTGCTGCCACAGTATTTCTAAATAAAAAACTCCAAATTGTTAGCTAGATATTCTATTTTTTCTTTTAAAAATTTTTATTTTTAATTACAGTTTACATTCAATATTATTTTGCATTAGTTTCAAGTATACAGCATATGGTTAAACAATCCTGTGCTTTACAAAGTGGAGGTTCTTGACTTCACTTAGGAAAAATTTTGTATCATGAATTAAGTCAAGAGAAAGGTAAAGGGAATATCTGTCTTTGTAATTTATAGAACAAATAAAACACATGCAAAATCAGTAAGTAAGGTGAAGGGATGAAGAAGTACAAATTGATAGTTACAAAATAGTCTCATGTAAAGTACAGCATAGGGAATATAGTCAATAACATGGATGGTACCAGGTGGGTACTGGAAATATTGAGAAGAACACTTTGTAAAGCACAGGATTGTTTAACCATATGCTGTATACTTCCTGGACCTACAATAGCCCTTCCTTCTATTGTGCTGCTGTATATTCTATCTAGACTGTTGATGAGTATACTAGAAGTGCTGGGATAGGGGATGATATGGGATGGAAAGAGCAGGCCAACTGGTAGTAGCTGCAAGAGGAAAATAACTGATCTAGCATCTTTGAAAGCTGCTTTAGATCAGCATAACTATTCTAGGAAATCCTACAACCAGCAGATTTTTAGGAGGGCAGGGGAGCAGTGAGAAGATGGTTGTTTTTATTCCTGTTATTATTTGAAAACAATTTATTCCAGTCTAAAAACATAAAATTTTCCATTGTTTATGTTCCTTTTCTTTTATTCTCCCCTGTAATTTAGGTTCACGGTGATGCTTCTTTCTGTGGTCAAGGGATTGTTCCTGAAACATTTACGCTCTCTAATCTCCCACATTTCAGAATTGGTGGAAGTGTCCACCTGATTGTCAATAACCAGCTGGGTTATACCACTCCGGCAGAAAGAGGAAGGTCTTCCTTATACTGTAGTGATATTGGTATGTAACACAGAATTGTTGGTGTTGCTGGGTCAGACAAGAAATTTCTAGAGGACCTTCTAATTCACTTGGAACAGTGAGCCTCACTGGTTATCCCATTTTAAGTTTTGGATCAGATACTTTCAGTGTTGTTAGCTAATATTTATTTTAAACTCGGAGCATAGTCTTTACATCCAAGGAAATAAGACTAGAGTGGAACTTAGATGGTGCAATCTCAAATTGCTTAAATATCCAGTTAAATGATCTGGAAACCAGAGATCGACACAATTAGTCAACATTAAAGTAATTGTCTTTATGATGTTCAAACTTGGGGTAATCAATCTTAGTAAAAAAGGATATGTTCAATTCAATAAGGGATTAATATCTAAAATATATAATGAACTAATACAACTTAATAATAAAAACAATTAGATTATAAAAGGGCCAGAGGAATTGAATAGACATTTGTCCAGAGAAGATATACTGATGGCCAACAGGCACATGAAAAGGTGCTCAACTTCACTAATCATCAGGGAAATGCAAATCAGAACCACAATGAGGTATCTATCACACATACCTCTCAATAAAAAAGACAAGAGACAACAGGTGCTGGTGAGGATGTGGTAAAAAGGGACTCTTATGCACGGTTGGTGGGAATGTAAATTAGTCCAACCACTATGGAAAACAATATGGAGATTCCTCAAAAAATTAAAAATAGATGTACCATAAGATTCAGAAAATCCACTTCTGGCTATGTATGCAAAGGAAATGAAAACGGGATTTCGACAAGATATCTGCACTCCATGTTTATGATAGCATTATTCACAATAGCCAAGATATGGAAGCAACCCAAATGTCCATCACTGGATGAATGCATAAAGAAATATGGTAGGCATACACATGGAATATTATTCAGTCATGAGAAAGGAATACATCCTGCCATCCATTTGTGCCAACATGGATGGACCTTTGAGCACAGTATGCTAAGCAAGATAGGTCAGACAGAAAAAGACAAGTATTGTATGATATCACTTATATGTGGAATCCTAAAAAAAAGTCATGGATGTGAAAAAGCAGAGTAAAATGGTGGTTGCCAGGGGATCGAGGTGAGGGGAAGGATAAAGGTACAAATGTGTGAATAGTAATGAATAGTAAATAAGCCATAGAGATCTAATGTGCAGTATATAATGAATATAGTCAATAATACTGCACTGTAGTGGTATAATGTGGTAAATATTGCTTCAATGCCAATCGTATCACAATATATAAAGTATCAAAGTAATATTTTGTATATCTTGAATTTACAAATTTTAATGTCATTTATTTTATTTATTTTTATTTTCTTTAAATCCTTATCCGAGGATATTTTTCCATTGATTTGTAGAGAGAGTGGAAGAGAGAGGGAAAGACAGAAACATCGTTGTGAGAGAAACACATCTATTGGTTGCCTCCTGCATGAGCCCGGACCAGGGCCTGGGCTGGGGAGAAGCCTGCAACCGGGATACGTGCCCTTGACTGGAATTGAACCTGGGATCCTGTGGTTCACTGGCCGATGCTCTATCCACTGAGCAAAAGTGGCTAGGGCTCAAATTTATTTTTTTTTTAAAAAAGTGTATGTTCAGCCACTAAATTTGGCCCAGTAGTCTGGCTAGACATCAGATGTGAAGAATGATGGTTGCCTTGTTTTAACCTATGAAAATTGGCAGTATTAAGAGAAATGTGGGATTTTAAATATCTATACAATTAAATGGTATTTATTGATTTTTAGAGAGAGGAAGAAACATCCATTTGTTGTCCCACTTATTTATGCATTCATTGGTTGTTTCTGGTATGTGTCCTGGCTGGGGATCGACCCTGAAACCTTGGTGTATCAGGATGACACTCTTAACCAACTGTGCTACCTGGCCAGGACAGAAATGCAGAGCTTTTATTACCTAGTCTCTATTTCACAGAGTTGTAAGAAACTGGTGGCCTGGTGCACGAAATTCATGCACATTAAAAGGGGATTAATTAGAGGAAATATTTTAATATTGCTATTTGCCCTTTCTCAATAATAGAAGTGTCAGAGATGAAAGAAAATTAGTAAAATGTATATGAAAATCTTCCTCCTGTCAGAGTCTGGGGTGCGCTGCGGGATCCAGAGTCATGTCCCTGCCCACCAGCGGCACCTCAAAATTGTGCGAGACCCAGCCCCAGCCGGCCCCACCTCCATTGGGTGAGATCCAGACCTGGCTGGCCCCACCCTTCTCAAGCCCCACTGGGTGGGGGGTGCAGTCTCAAGTCCCCTGGCGCACCCTCAGGTCCCCAGGCCTGGTGCTGGGGCATGGGGCGCAGCCTCAGGTCCCCTGGACTGGTGCTGGGGTGGGGGGTGCGGCCTGAGGTCCCCCGTCAAGCCCTGCTGGGCGGGGGGCGTGGCCTGAGGTCCCCTGGCCTGGCGACAGGGAAGGGTGCATGGTCTGAGGTCCCCTGTCAAGCCCCACCAGGCAGGGGGCACAGCCTCAGGTCCCTGCTGATTGCTCATTAAGGCTCATTGTGGTAACGGCCTCCACTGTGGGCACGGCCATCTTGTGTTACAGAATCCCTGCCTCCACTGTGAGCACAGCCATCTTGACCATTATGGTGTGATGGTCAATTTGCATATTCACTGTTTATTAGGTAAGATGTTAGCTGGTAGGATCTATTCTGTTTTAGACCCAGAGCCTGGCCCGGATGTGCTTTGGGACTATGTGAATTTTTTGTGATTAGTTAGAAATACTGAAAACTCCTTCTTGAACTTCTTTTTGGAGAATATCCATTTTTTCCCCTCTAGGATGCATCCTCTCATAATCCTTTTCTTAGAAGGAAAGATAATAGTAATAATGTCAATAACAAAATAACTGTTAGTTATTACACACCAGGCACTGTTAAGTACTCTAGATGCATTACCTCATTTAATGTTTACAATAATGCTAAGAGGTAGGAGCTATTATCCCAGTGTTATAGATAGGGAGACTGAGATTCATAACTTTACCAAGGTCACACAGTAAGTCACAGAATTGTGACTTGAACTCATTCTTGTCAGCTGGACTCCAAAGTCTGAGTTAACAGCCAATCCAAACTACCTTTGAAGATGTGGGCTGCCTCTCCACGCAGGCAACAGGACTTGGCGCTGGACTGATGTCGTCTGGCTCACTTCATCTTGGTCTTCTCTGCCTCAGGGAAGCTTGTGGGCTGTGCCATCATCCATGTCAATGGAGATAGCCCAGAGGAAGTGCTCCGTGCCACACGCCTGGCTTTTGAATACCAGCGCCAATTCCGGAAGGATGTGATTGTTGATTTGTTATGCTACAGGCAGTGGGGCCACAATGAGCTGGATGAGCCTTTCTTCACCAACCCAGTCATGTACAAAATCATCAGGTACAATTATACACCTTCATTTAATGTGCCCTCTCCCCCTTGGTGCCACATTATGATTTTGTTAGACATTCTCAATTAGAATGACAACTTTCCGGGTTTGTGTGAGACATGAAGCTTTCAGTGTTAAAACTGGGACTCCAAAGTCCTGGGCAGACTGGGATGGTCACTCTATGGGTGTCCGGAAAGCTCCCCATATTCTTCAAATTCTACATGTTTCGTCAATGAACAGGCAAAGTGGGCAACTCAACAACCTCACTTAGCAGATGGGAAGATGGAATAGGAGGACTTAGGCAGAGTCTTGCCTGAAGTTACTTAGTATGGCATTAACAGGATCAGAAACAGAACCTCCATGACCCACTCTGCAAACTATAGATGGGGACCTACTCTTTACCTTGGCACGATGTTGGATTTTAAAGAAAGTCCAGAACTGTGCTGTCCAATATAGCAGTCACTTAAGTGGCTACTGAATGCTTGAAATGTGGTGAGTCTTGATGGAGACATGCTGTGAGTATAATCTACACACCAGATTTCAAAGATTCAATATGAAAAAAAGATGTTAACTATCTCAATAATAATTTTGTATTAACTAGATATTAAGTGACAATATTTTGGATATATTGATTTAAATAAACATGATTAAAATTAATTCTACCTGTTTCTTTTTACCTTTTCTAATGTGACCACAAGGAAATTTTAAATTCCACATTGGCTTGTATTATACTAGTATTTCAGTGCTGAGTTGGAGGGTTAATGAGACAGGAAAATGTCACTTTTTAGATACTAGAACGTAAAAATAGATCCCTCTTCTCTACTTTATTTCCTCATGGACATAAATTAAAGCAGAGGAAACAACTGGTGGCATTTTATGAGCCTTTCTGGTCATAGGGAGCAGGCTGCTTTTGGAAGAACAAATCTGGGTTCTTTATTTAGATCTGAGCTTAGCAGCTGAATTACTTGATGTGCCCCAGTGCCCCATTTAAAATAATTTATCCTGCTAACCTCTCACTTTGGTCAGAATTAAATGTGATAATATATCTAAACAGACCTTACAGTTTAAAGGTTATGCAAATATAGAGTGGCATCATTATTATTGTTATAAAACCCAGGAGCTGAATAGATACAGGATTCTTAAAGACACCTGAAACAGATGTTGGCAATTTTGGGTTTAATACTTTTTAAAACAAAAGGGTGCTGAATGGGTAGATTATATAGGTCAGTCCTATAAATTATTGAATTTACCAATTGATTGAAAAACTAATTATTTCTACCCGAATGTAGATGAAAATTCATAAAGATAAATTTGTTTTCTCTTGCTTCCCTGGATGAAGTTGTTACTCACCATTGCCTTTTTGAAGAAAATAATTTATTGGAGTGAAAGTCACATAAAATTGAACATTTAAAATTCAATAGCACTTAGTACATTCAGAGTGTCATACAACCACCCCTCTATCTAGTTCCAAAGCATTTCCTATATGCCTTTTTACAACGATGACACATCACATATCTTTGACAATGACTGTATCTATTTCTCTTTGATTTTTAAACATCAGATTGATTTATTCCCCCTCTTTCTTGGACAGAGCTCGAAAGAGCATTCCAGACACTTATGCAGAGCACCTTATTGCCAACGGACTCATGACTCAGGAGGAGGTGTCAGAAATCAAAGCCGCCTACTATGCAAAGTTAAATGACCATTTAAATAACCTGACCCACTATAGCCCCCCTGCCACTCACCTGCAGGCCCACTGGCAGGGCCTGGCTCAGCCAGAAGCTCGCATTACCACCTGGAACACAGGTGTGCCCCTCGACCTCCTTCGGTTTGTTGGTGGCAAGTCTGTGGAGGTGCCGGAGGAACTCCAGATGCACAGTCACCTTCTGAAGATGTATGTTCAGGTGGGGAACCCTGAATTCTCTGATTATTATTTGTTTCTTGTGCAAATTGATATTTGGTCATTTGGTTGGCTAATTTGTTTGACAAATATTTATTATATGTTATTTTGTTCTAGGACAGTGATGGCAAACCTTTTGAGCTCGGCATGTCAGCATTTTGAAAAACCCTAACTTAACTCTGGTGCCGTGTCACATATAGAAAATTTTTGATATTTACAACCATAGTAAAACAAAGACATATTTTTGATATTTATTTTATATATTGAAATGCCATTTAACAGAGAAAAATTAACCAAAAAAATGAGTTCGCATGTCATCTCTGACACGCGTGTCATAGGTTTGCCATAACTGTTCTAGGAACAGATCTAGTGGTGTTTTGGTACTGATAGTCAATTAACTCAGATTTTGTCTACTTCTTTCCTTCCTTCCTTCTTTCCTTCCTTCTTTCCTTCACTTATACATGTTTAATACATTAAATATACATGTACTACATGCACATTATTAAATACTAGAGGCCCAGTGCATAAAAATTTGTGCACTTGGGGGAAGGGGGTACCTCAGCCCAGCCTGCGCCCTCTTGTAGTCCAGGACCCCTCAGGGGATGTCCACCTGCCAGCTTAGGCCCGGTCCCTGGGGGAGTCAGACATCCCTCCGGCAGCCTGGGAACCCTCGGGGGATGTCCGACTAATGGTTTAGGCCCACTCTTGTGGGCAGCGGGCCTAAGCTGTCAGTCAGACATCCTTAGTGCTGCCATGGAGCCTCTCCCACCTACCGCTGCTGCGCTCACCAGCCTTGAGGCTGGGTTCTGGCTGAGTGGCGCTCCCCCTGTGGGAGCGCATTGACCACCAGGGGGCAGCTCCTGTGTTGAGCATCTGCCCCCTGGTGGTCAGTGCACATCATAGTGACTGGTTGTTCCACCATTTGGTCAATTTGCATATTAGCCTTTTAGTATATAGGGTACAACAATACCAGAATGCCTGTTTGGATTGTTCTGACCAGAAAACTCTTTCATTGTTTAGGGTGCCTTAAATGTAATAAATAAAAATCAACACACACACTCCGGAGTCAACTGTTTAGAGCCTTAATCATGTTGAGGTTTTACATATTGTCTCACGTTAAATATGCATATGACTAACCCTTCTGGTTTGCCTAGCTCTCAGGGGTTTCCTGGAACACTGGACTTGCAGTGCTGAAAACAAGACAAGGAGTTAAAGGCCTTCATCTTTCTTAAACTTGGATGAAGAAACTTTGCCTTTTGAATTATTTTTAAAACACTAACTTCATTTTGTTTGTTTTTTAATACTCACCCAAGGATATTTTTTTCCCATTGATTTTTAGAGAGTGGAAGGGAGAGGGAGAGACAGAGAAACATCAATGTGAGAAAGACACATCGATTGGTTATGCGCCCCAACTGGGGCTGGGGCTCGAGCCTGCAACTGAAGTACGCTCTTGACCTGAATTGAACCCACAGTCCCTCAGTCCATGGGCCAGTTCACTAACCACTGAGCTAAAGTGGCTGGGACCATTTTGGGGTTTTAATTACAGGTATAGAGACTATTAAAACAAACTATGTATTCACCATCCAGGTGAAGAAATAGAATATTATAAATAAGTTCCCTGTGAAACCCTCCCTGCTGCCATCATTCACCCACAGGGTGAACAACTAACCTGAGCACCTGTGTATTTTGCCTGTTTTAAGATGACAGAAGATTGCCACCAGACTTTCATGTATTCTTCTGCGCTTTCTGTTTTGTTTAACATAATGTATTTGATACTTCCCATTGTTGCATTACATTTTTTTTTAACTCTGTGAAAAAGGATACTGGACTCAAAGTTTCTTTTTTTCCTCCCCTTCAATTTTACAGTCTAGACTAGAGAAGGTGATGGATGGAACCAAGTTAGACTGGGCCACGGCAGAAGCTCTTGCCTTAGGCTCATTGCTTGCTCAAGGTAAGAAGTTTCTGTTTAGCTGCACAGCTGGTAGGAGATGCTTTAATATAATGTTGGTTACATGTGATCTCTGCAGATTTTTAAGCGACAGCTACCTCCTATTATTTTTATTAACCAGAGAGATTCTAAAACACGTTATCTTTTCTTACCTGACAATATTATTTAATCTTAGTATGTCATGTTGACAACCTTCATCAGAGAATCGAGCAATCATACCTGGAAAAAAAGGGCTCGGACCTGGATATTTTCCTCTAAAAATTATAGGGTAAATGAGGACTCTCCATTCTTATACAATCTCACTTTGACTACAGACCTTTACTAGTACATATAGAACTGGTATATTTGAATAAGGATAATCTATTATGCTAAGGAAAACTCTCAGGATAAGTTGATATATAAGAATTCAGGGTCACCATGCCTTATTACTAGGTTATTCATGGGAATCTGGATTTCCCCCCCTCTTGCTTGCTTAAGGTTTTAATGTCCGTCTGAGTGGCCAAGATGTTGGCCGTGGAACGTTTAGTCAGAGACATGCAATGGTTGTTTGCCAGAAGACTGACGAAACCTACATCCCTCTGAACCATATGGACCCTCATCAGAAGGGGTTTCTAGAGGTAGGATGTTTCCTTACCTATTTTAAAATCCATATGCTGATGATTATAGTTACAGGATTCTTTTTTTAAATTTTTAAATAAGTGTTTAATTCTTTGGTCATGCGTCTTCTGTAATACATGCATATTTGGGCTTCACATTTTCTTGGTGTGCACATATAGCTTTTGTAATAAACTTAAAATTGTTTTCTAGTTTTTTTTTTGTTATTAATCCTTACCCGAGGATATTTTTCCATTGATATTTAGAGAGAGTAAAAGGGAGAGGGAGAGAAAGAGAGAAAATCGATGTGAGAGAGACACATCAATTGGTTGCCTCCCACATGTACTCTCACCAGGGCCCAGTATCAAGCCTGCAACTGAGGTACATGCCCTTGACTAGAATAGAACCCCGGTCCCTTTAGTCCTCGGGCAGATGCTCTATTCACTGAGCCAAACTGGCTAGGGCTAGTTACAGGATTCGTAAAGCAACTAGGGATTTAATGCTTTTTGAAGTAAAAGGATGCTGGATAGACGATATAGGTTTATAAATTTGGACTGGAAGTAACATATCAGCAAGTAGACTAGTTGTTTTACTCTGGCCACTTATCTGTAATAATGTGTCAAATGGATGTTCTTTTTGTCAATCAAAAATTGATCTTATTGCTGGATTCATTAAAGTAAACCTAAGATGTGAATAATTAGTAACATTTCTTTCTTATTACAAAAAAGCCATTTCATCAAGTTACCTTATTCACTAAGGTTTAGTAGGCTTGATGAGTTAATCTATTATCACATATTTCCATGTGTCAGTCAGTGAGCTATACTTGTTAGAGTAAAGGATAGGGGCTGGGTCTTCTCATTTTTGTCTCTCCAACAACTAGCATACGCCTGGTACATGAGGTTTATTAAAATAAATTATTCTTTAAGGTACAATTAGTGGCCTGTCCTCTTTTTTCCTATTCTAGCCATTTAAGAACATAACCTTGAGTTCATCAAATTCAATATTTATAAAAAAGTTTACTTGTCAAAGGAAAATTCCAGGAAGATGACTTAGAGGACACAGTGCTTAGCTTTCTTTAAGTTAGTCTAAAGCCACCCCTGTGTCAAGTCAGATTAGTGATCTAAATACTGAAATGTTTAATCTCCACCCCACCCACCAATGATTCTTTTGAGTTGTGATTTAATATAGTGTATCAATTAGCTTTAAATATTAGTATTTGAAAAGCCCTAATTAAATGCCTTGCCTCTTTTATGAGGGAGCCTTCAAAGATTTCATTTATTATATGCAGATTTATTATAAGATTTATTATAAGATCTCATGTACTTTATGTGCAAACCCGGGGAGAAACACCTGATTGATCTTGGTTTGTCTTTATTGTCTGTACACCATGAATTCTGCAAACTAACCAGCATTCTCTTATTAGAAATGGCTTTGATAAAACAGAAAATAAAGCAATGAATATATGCACTTTTCAAAAAATATATAATGGCTTCTATGAAGGGGTAGAGGCCACTGTAGCCTTGATAAAAGTAAGTAGGTTACCAGATTATGTCTTTTCCTTAACTCTGTTCTGTTTCTCAATCTTAATTTCTCTCTTTGCCTGCACTTACTTTTCACAGTCATGTTACATATTATGTGTACTTACAAGACATCTTAAATACTTTTTAGAATAACAGCATCAATAGATTCAAGAAAATAAGGTATACTAGTATGCAAAGTACAGTAGATGCATTGGAGAAGGAATAGCTTATTCTACTTGGGGAAATCGGGAAAAGTTTGGCAGGGAAGCCAGATTTCAGCTAGGATTTGAAGGACATTAGAAGTTGCTGTTCTAATACATGTAGGGAGAACGTTTGATGTGGAAACAGTAGCACATAAACAAACAAACAAACAAACAAAAAACAGAGAAGAGCCCGGCCGGTGTTGCTCAGTGGTTGAACTTTGAGATCATGGTTTGATTCCAGGTCAGGACACCTGGGTTGTGGGCTCCATCCCCAGTAGGGAGTGTGCGGGAGGCAGCCTAATCGATGACTTTTTCTCATCATGGATGTTTCTATCTCTATCTCCTTCTCTCCCTGAGATCAACCCTTGACCTTTTAGTTGCCAAACATTCATACACCTTAGATTCCAAATCTAGATCTCAAGACCAGATGCCTGCATTAGCTCCAGATATTACCCTATATAATAAAAGCCTAATATGCAAATTGTCCCCTCAACCAGGAGTTCAATGCGGGGGGCGGGGGAGGGAGGCCCCGGCTGGCAGCCGGCAGCTGCTAGGGACTCTACTACTTATATAATTGCCTGGTAGAAACCTCTCTGTCATTCAACTCCCTCATCCTTCTCTAAGTCAAATGTCCAAAACTGAATCCATCATCTTTCCTTTTCCTGCTAGGAAATCCACCAAATCTGCTCCCTTTTATTCACTCTCTGTTTAGGTGAATGCCAACATCATATACTAGTTGTCGATAAGTCACAAAGCCAGAAGATAACTGAGACTACATTTCCTACATCTACTACTAAGTCTTTTAGCTGAATAGTTCTCAAATCTGCCCCATCCTCTATCTGCACTGTTAGTGCCCTAATTCAGGTTCCCAGGATTTCCTGCCTAGATAATTGAGAAGCCGCCTTAGAAATTGTCCTTAGGCCCTAGCTGGTTTGGCTCAGGGGATAGAGCGTCGGCCTGTGGACTGAAGGGTCCTGGATTCGATTCCAGTCAAGGGCACATGCCAGGTTGTGGGCTTCATCCCCAGTAGGGGCATGCAGGAGGCAGCCAATCAATGATTCTCTCTCATCATTGATGTTTCTATCTCTCTCTCCCTCTCCCTTCCCCTCTGAAATCAATAAAAATGTATGTATGTATGTGTGTGTATATATATATATGAAATTGTCCTTTACATTCTTTTCCCCCCATAGGATTTAATGAATTAATACATGAATTAATTAATATCTTTATTGTTGAAAGTATTACATATGACCCTTTTTCCCCCATTGACTTCTAGCCTGCCCCCTGCCCCAGGCCTTCATCACCCTATTATCTGAGTCCATGGGTTATTCATTTATGCATACAAGTTCTTTGGTTGATCCCTTCTCTCCTGCCCATCCAACCCTCCTTCCCTCTGAGATTTGAAAATCTGACCCATGCTTCTATGTCTCTAGATCTATTTTGTTCATTAGATTCTACATATAAGTGAGATGATATCCTTGTCTTTCTCTGGCTGGCTTATTTCACTTAGAATAATACTCACTGGGGACTGAGCCTGAAAACTGGGTATGTGCCCTGACTGGGAATCAAACTGTAACCTATTGGTTTATAGGTTGATACTTAACCACTGAGCCATACCTACCGGGCCATATTTAATTTTTTGAGGAAACTCCATACTGGTTTCCATAATGGTTGCATCAGTCTGCATTACCACCAGTAGTGTACTAGGGTTCCCTTTTCTCCACATCCTTGCTAGCACTTGTCATTTGTTGATTTGTTAATGGTAGCCATTCTGACAGGTGTGAGGTGATACCTCATGGTCGTTTTAATTTGCATCTCTCTGATGATCAGTAACTTTGAGCATTTTTCATATGTGTCTTGGCCATCTGTATATCCCCTTTGGAGAAGTGTCTATTTAGGTCATTTGCCCATTTTATAATTGGATTGTTTGTCCTTCTTTTATTAAATTGTATAAGTTCCTTATATATTTTAGATATTAACCCTTTATGAGATGTATCATTGCCAAATATGTTCTCCCATAAAATGGGCTCCCTTTGCATTTTGTTGACAGTTTCTTTTGCTATGCAAAAGTTTTTATTTTGATATAGTCCCATTTGTTTATTTTCTCCCTACTTTCCTTTGCCCTAGGAGATGTATCCATAAACATATTGCTGCATGAGATGTCAGAGATTTTTGTGCCTATGGCTTCTTCTAGGATTTTTATGGTGTCACGACTTATATTTAAGTCTTTTATCCATTTTGAGTTCATTATTGTGTATGGTGTAAATTGGTGGTCTAGTTTTATTTTTTTGCATGTATCTGTCCAATTTTCCCAATACCATTTATTGAAGAGACGGTCTTGACTCCATTGTATGTTTTGTCAAATATTCATTGAGCATATGTCTTGGGTTGATTTCTGGGGTTTCTGTTCTATATGCCTGTTCTTTATGCTAGTATCAGGATACTTTGATTACAGTGGCTTTGTAGTATAACTTGACTAGTGTCCCAGTGCACGGATTTGTACACATTGAAAGGAAATTAATTAGAAGAAACATTTTAATATTGCTATCCGCCCTTTCTCTATAATAGAAGTGTCAACCAAATTCATGATCGACAATGACAGATTGAAACACACACATGCGATTGGTGCCAGCTAAGAGCTTTATATGTATCCTGCATACGCAAGTCAACTTAGCCTTTTATATATAGAAGCCTTTTATATATAGAGATAAACTTGCTTAATTAAGCCTGATTTCTGATTTAGCTAAACTTTTTCCAGCCCAGTGAAGCACCCCAACTTCTCTTTCAGGTAATTGTCAGCAACACAGCAGTAAATATCAACATGAAGTAGATTATTATTGTAGACCATGCAGGGAGAATAGAGGGTAAAATATTTAACTGTAGCAGTGTTTGACTATATTCTGCACAGTGAGAAAACCTGAAGTCATTTTCAAATTCCATTATTTCTTACTTCCTTTCAGTTAGGTCAAATTTCTAAACCTTCTAAATCTCCATTGTCTTGCTAATGAAAAGAAAATAGGATTCTACTGAGTCTCCTATCTACCTACTCCAGGACTTCTGTGAGGATCAAATGAGATGAGGCATGGGAAAACGCTTCACAAACATTTGGTTAAACTGTAAAATGTTTGCACCTGGCTATAAAGCAAGTTGGGTTCCTGGGCTGAAGAAACTCTAAGGAGGCTAGTCGCTAGGGAGAGGAAGCTGGGTGTTGCTACATGATGTCATTACCTGGCACCCACAGCACCGTTTCCGGGCTGGGCTGGGATGTGGACCACATTTTGTGCCATGGGGTCTTGGGAG